TTGAAAGATTGGAAACCCGTGAAAGACTGGCTGCTGAGCGCATTTCCCTGAAAGTTGAAATGGGAATCCGATCCCTGGATACAAGTCGCCAAGCTGATCACAAGCAATTCATGGCTGCTGTGGAGCGCCTCATCTCTGAGGTATCCGCAATCAAGGCAGACTTACAAGCAACCATTGCAGACCAATCTACTCACTCCCAAAATCTTACAGCAGAGACTCACACTGCTTATGAGTCCACCATCTTAGTCCTTCAATCCACAATCAACAGACTTCAATGATCCTTATCGTCAAATTTTCATGGCCCGGAGATTCTTCAACTGACAAAGGAGATTCATCGACTACTCTTCAACACTGCCATCCCAAACAATCAGCAACTGGCTGACGTTCTTAAAGCTCAATTCCAGGAGGTATGTGCCAAAGTTGATGGTCTCAAACAATGGCTTGAGGATGCTCCGGTGTTGCATTCCTCAAGAGGGGGAAGTGATGAAGACCATCACTCAAATAGCGTCTCTCATCATCAAACCCCCCCCCCATCATAACTGAAAAAATTCCCTCACCGCAACCATCACCGCATCAAACACCACCTCATCAATCACCACCTCACCAGTCTCCACCGCAACACAAAATCGTTCAAGAAAGTTCTTCCGAGCGACCGGAGACTCCTCCCCACTTCAAGAATCTTGCATCCAATATGTCATCCGAACACTCCGACGACTCTCCCATTACGAAACAGAAGAAAACAGATTGGAAAGCAGCCAAGTTTGCTGAACTCATCTGGAGAGAGAACGGATTCGACATTACTATGGATGAATCCTTAATCAATTCCTGGATCAATCCCCACCGAAGACTACTGGATGATGACTACAAACCCTACCTTACCTACGCTGAACCCCCTTCTGATGGCTACTGGGATGTTCCAATCTCCCCAAATGCTAAATACTTCACTGTATTTGAGCAGTTTGACCGTAGCCTACCCGATCACAAGAGACTGCCTATGGAATTCAAAAGACTTAACCGTTTCTATGCCAAACATGCTTCTTCCATAGAGAAAATCTGGTCTAATGATAGACCATCCGCAGTCAAGAACTTTAAGCCCCGGAAATTCATGAAAGTTGACTTCATTCAATACACGCTTACAAGAAGGAATCAGGACTATGTCTGCACCCAAGCTGACTTCCCATGTATGAATCCAGAAGAAATCTTCCTGATAGCAAAGGTGTTCAAAAACAAAAGCGAGAAGTATCCGAAGATGCAGATATCACTTGAAAGGGCGAGCACTTTTATGAGGGAAACCGTCTGTGACTTTGCAAAAATCGATGCAGACATCTACCCCACAATTGCTAAAAAGTTCGATCTACCACCACTCGATCCTGCACCGATGCCTACCGAAGGTTATTAAGAAAGATCCCTAGGTGCAACAAACTTCCCTGAGCTCGGAGTCATTTTCAAAAGGAAGGTCGATAAAATCAAATACTTCATTCCTATGACTGCCATGAATCGCCTCACAAGGAAGCAGCTTGAAATCTGTCGAACCGCAGTTGAAAGATCAAAGCACACGACTGCCGAAGTCAAGTTCGAAATTTTAAGAAGTATCACATGGTTGGAGAATATTAGAAAGTTTTGGTGGATTCTGATCAAGTTTCTAAAACTTGATAACCGAAGAGAAGTTAAAGAGGTCACTCAGGGGGAATTGTTGAATCATAAAAGTGACCCTCTTGAACTTCAGCTACCGCAGCCCTCGAGAATCCGCAGTCAGATCTCCTTCAGCAACCGCACCCGAAGTCATCATCAACCGCAGTCACTCTTACTTACTAGATTACTTTACTTTTATTGTAATACTCTCTATTGTCCAGTATGCCTTGCATGGTTACTCTTAGAGATTTGATCCATGTAACTCCTGAGTCTATATAAAGGACTCAATCTTTCTGATTCAAAAATCAATCTTTCACATCTTCTACAATCTATCGCAACTTCTATGCTATCTAATATATCTCTCATCTCTATCTGATTACGCACCTTAAAATCTATCCTTACTCTCAAAGTTCACTAGAACATTACTGAATATTATTACTCTTCGGAGCAAGTCATTCGTGACTTAATCACTAAGTTCGATCTCACTTACTAACTTGGTCTGAATGCATTCCATGTTATGAATCAACTTATGTGTATACTTGATATATCACCTGCTGTCATTTATATTCCTTACATTTCCGCAACTAACACTCTAACTATCTAACTCGTTAACTCTTTATTATTGTTGAGCTTTTAGATCCTTTGAGATAAACTATTCCGCAACTGTACTTGTTCTAACGTTTGTTCAAGTGTCTCAAGTTTTTTCTCTCAACAGCTTCCATTTCAGCTTTGGTGACTTTAAACACCCCTCTTGGTTTTGTCTTGATAATTGTCTACTTAACTTTCATCTCATTTGTCACTAAAGGGTATGATGTATAAACACTTGTTTTGTGATGACAAATAAAGAAGATCATCCATTTGAAGTCGGGAGTTGGGTTTAACATCAATCAAGTTGTTTTGTTGACTATTACATCGTCTTTTTATCAAACCATATACAATTAAATAACACAACAATCAAGGGTATGATGTCATAATACCCAACTCTAAGATATCTTGTAGTATGACTAGTAGTTTGACACTTTTTCGACATTATATGTCTCCCCCATCACACATACTCCTAAGTTATTGATTGCATGACCCTCACCATATTGTTTGGATTAATTTCATTTTTTTATTTTTTGGACAACACCACCATCATCCTAATTTATTTTGAAAATTTCTCACCCATCCCACCACTACGAGACTAGGTGATGGTGGTGATGTTGTCAAAAATATGTTATCTTCAAAATATTTATAATAAATTAGGAGGTGTTGTTGATTTTCTTTGGGTTTTTTTATTTATAATAATGAAGAAAACAATTAAAAGTAGTAATCCTATAAAATAATATTTAATAGTATATAAATATTATATATTAAAAATAATTTTTATTAGTAAGTTATAATCCAAATAAAAAAATAATTAATCTAATAAAAAAGAAATTAATAATCCAATAAGTAATATTTTTTAATGTATTAATATTATATATTTAGATGATATTAATTAATATATAATAATCCAATAAAAATAAACAATCTATTTAAGAAAATTAAAAAATAATTAAACTAAATGTAATTAATAAAGTAACATTTATTAATATATCAATATTATATATTAAAAATGATATTTATTAATATATTAGTATAAAAAAGTAATCTAATTAAATGAAATTAAAAAAAAGATTTAATGTATAATAATTGAATAAAATTAAAAAGAAGAGATGCAAAAACGGTCCTTATATTTCGGTTGTAGAAATGGTACCTGAGGGTAAAATTGTCATTTTAAGAAAATTAACAGTCAAGTTGTTAAAGTTAATATTTTTGGACCAAAAATGCACAAGGTATCCAAAATTGGACTGCTTTTGCAACACAAAACATTTTTGGACCAAAATCACATTATTTTGACAACCACATGGACTATTTTTGCAATTTTGTCTAATTTCTAAGCATTAAACAAAGTTTAACTAAAATGAAAATTTTAGTTTCACTTAAATTTTTTAGTATTTATTTTTTTCACTTCAATTTTTTAGTTCCAAAATACAATGTAGTTTATTTTGGTTCGTTTCGCTTTATCCAGGTTTATATATATATCATATATATTATATATATATAATATATAGAATATATATATAATATATATATATATATATTATATGTGTGTGTGTGTGTGTGTGAATAGGCATGTAGTAGATAAAAGTAATTCTCACGTGAACATCAACACAACGACCACCCACGTTATTAAGATATGTACCAACATCATCATCACCAACATACTTGTAATTCTCAGGATCCGCATAGCGAATATGTGAATAAGTAACATTAACATTTTCAGCAACACTGTGAATTTGAGGTAGACTAGGAGTATTAAAAGTACCTATCGGATCGTTGCTCCCTTTAAAGCTGCAAAAATTACCATCCGCATTATTTCCACTGTTACCAGCCTCATTAACCTGATCTCCTTCATCAACCATCACAAACACTTTCACCGCCCTTCCTCCACTACATTTTATTACATTTATCAACATTCTAATATCCATGTCTTCAACCATGGCTATATAATGATTCAATTTAAGATGATGGAAACGAAGACTAATTCTATATTTGTCTAACAAACCAATTTTGCTTCTCACCAAAGATATAAAATCACTATAACTAATATACTCAGAAAATATCAAATCGAATTCAGAAATACCTCCCTGTGGACACAATTATTCCAAATTTGTTTCAATAACTTGCCATCTCCCACCAGTTACAAGACAAACCAAATATTCAATCATTTTTTTTAGAGAGATTTTTAAGAAATTTCCTAAAGAAATAACAAGTAAACTGATAATTTTCTACAAAAGTTTATATATATAATAAGGTAATTTCGTAGTCAAACCCATTGATTTCATAGTCAAAATTAAAAAAAAAAAATACATAAAACCGCAGATCAAATAGAGAGGAAATCGCAGATGAACACTGTCCATCTGCGATTTTAGGCTGATTAAGGGTATATATATACAAAAAAATAAAATAAAATAACCCCATCTGCAAATGTACAAGTGGCTAAAGCACGTTTGTGCTTTAGCCACTTGTACATTCGCAGATGGAATGTGCAAATCGCAGATGGACCTTTCCTATCCGCGATTTCGGTGGCCAAATTTGCAACTTCAATATTTTTTGGCTATTTTCCACAAAGTAACAAAAACAAACTATAAGAATCTTCCGAGTTAAGAAAAAAAGTTAGGGACTATTCGTGTAATTTACTCGAAAATAAATGATGAAAATATGATATATAACAAAATAGATTTTTATTTAAATTAATAATTTTAGGGCTTTAATTAGGGTTTATTTGCCCCAGCGGGAAATCAAAATCTATTAAAATGAAACTCAAATTTCATAGCATCGGCGCCAAAATATGACTTCGCAGTTTTGCATTCCAAACAGCGACACAACAAAAGACGCCTCATTTGTGCTGCTTCTCTCCTGTGAAGCCACCGGCCGGAGCGCCGCACCCCACTGTTACCGGAGACCTTCGACTTTCGACCCCATTGCTACAGGTTCGTTGACCGCCGTCTTCAGGCCCTGCAACGGTAATTACTGATGTGTGTTTCTTATTCTATTCTAGTTTTTTAGTACAACAGAAACTGAAATCGATATTATTCCATTGTATTTTCATCTCCACATAAAAATGCTTCGTATTTCGTTCTTCTTCCTCCTTTAATGGGATGGGATCGGATTTCGATGCAAGTATTTGTTCGTTTTTTTGAAAACCTTCCCTGGAACACTTCAATACTGATTCCAGATGCGGTTGGAATCACACTTGTAATTTGTGAAACTAACTGGGTTGGAATCGATTGCCATGGTTTAGTTAAAAAGTTCACAATATATATCATCAATATTGGATGTACCATGTTTCAGGAATTTATCCACAGTAGGCAATTAATATGAGAGGTATCCAAGCACATCAGAAGTTGCCATTTTGTTATTAGCCTCGTAAATCCGATTTCTAACCAACAGAGCCCATCCTACAGCATTGCTCTGTCACAAATTCGTGTTCTTCTTGTGATTTGATGAAGATTGTTGGTTATTTGTATAAGAGGCGAAATATTATCTCCATTCTGATGCAACTCAACGGATTCATTGCAGTTTCTTTGAAATGAATTTAGACTTGTTGATTTAGGGCTTTTTTGGAGGAGAATTGGGACTTTTCAGTTTGGGTCACCATGGTTGATTTTTGAATTGGTTCTTTAGTTTCTGTGAATGTGAATCTGATTTTGGTTTCTGTGAATGTGAATTTGCTTCTGTTTCTGTGAATCTGAGTTTGGTTCAATTATGTGATAACCTGCCCATACTATGTTCAGTTATGATACCTTCAATGTTGTTGATGCTTATATCATATTTTGAATGTAATTTAATTGTTATTCACAGCAACAACAAGCAATGCAATCGAAAATAAATTCATTCTTCATACCTTCTTCTTCTTCTTCCACATCACGAAGCCAAGCCCTAGATCCACCTCTTCCCCTTTTGGATAACTTGTCCGATGATGAAGACTTCACCAGAGAACCTGAAATTCCCATCATATACACGCGAAGAGCTCCAAACACAGATAGGTATATTCATTGTTCAGTCTTATCTCTATCCACTTTCACATTTGCATCAGTTGTTATAATAATCCACGTGGTGCTTTCTGATATTGCAACTGATGTAGATTATGCTACTAACTGGACATCAACATTGCCACAGTTTTAAATTCTTAGTATAAGAATTTCACCAACTGTTTCAGTTTTGTTATTAGTGTCATTGAGAAGATTATCATAGTGTGAGAAGTTAGCAAATCGAAGCTGATATCTGATTTCGTGTATGTAAGAAATTAATTGAATATCAAATGTTTTGCTTTTTGCATTCATGGAGACAAAAAACTATTTGGGCCTGTTGAATTTTTAGCATGGAATTAGTTTATTTCACTTTAGAAGTCAAAAAGAATCTTTACCTCTAGAACAAAGAAATAGCAGTTTGTTTGCATTTTTACCATACAAGAAATTACCTGACTAAAGTTGACTTTTGGTTTTGGATATGCAGAGCTAATGATGATCTTTTCAAAGAAAATGATCCAAACAAACTTAATTTTAGACAACAGTTAGTTGCAACAAATTCCAAAAAGGTTTTAAACAAGAAAAGGAAGTACGCACAGTTTCATTTGGATTTAGGTCAATCCGATTTTCTATTACACACTTGTAAAACTTGTGGATTTAAGTTTGCTCCTGGAGATGAAGAAGATACAAGGGTTCACAAAGAATTTCACAAAAGCTACACTCATGGTATTCATTTCAAGGTTAGATTCTTTATCCTTATATCTTTGATGTTTACCATTTCATTAATGTTAATGTTAGTTTCCAAAATTTTCTTTTACTCATTCATTCTTCATTGATTTTTTTACACTGAAGGGTTGGCGTAATGAAAGAGTTATAGATACACACTCATTAGAACATGGACGTGTTATTTTGGTCCTTAATGATGATCCTCCTGCTCATATTAAAAAGGTACAGTCAAACATCTTTTAAATAATCAATTTCTTGCTTAATAAAATCTTGTAATTACAGGTTGAGGAGGTTATAAAGATGATGGAGATGGAGCTTGGTGATGGATGGATCTTCCATAAAAACTGTAAGGTGACTATTTTTCACAAATCCCTTCAGTATTTTCTTGATTTAATTACTTTTTTTGTTTTCCGATTTTGTAACTAATCTTTCAATTTTTCATGTATAGGTTTATCTTTATATCTCCTCTCAACGGGTTGCTGGATGTCTAGTTGCAGAGCCAATAAACAAAGCTTATCCTTTAGTTTCAAACTCAGACCAAAACCATGATGTCACCACCACTCTAAAGGAGGTCAAAAAGTCAACTCCAACCACTCTACAATTCGGTAGCATTAGTTTCCAAAGAGAAATCATAAAAAAAAATAAAAATCAAAGAAATTCAAACGACACACTCCTTGGAGCAATCATTTGTGAAAAAGACTCAATCCCTGCTGTTTGTGGCATCCGTGCAATTTGGGTCACACCCTCCAACAGAAGAAAACACATTGCCACTCATTTACTTGAAGCCACAAGGTACCCTTACCCCTACACACACACTTTTATGCCTTCAAAGTTCTAAACTTTTTTTTTTTTTTTTTCACATGAATGTAGGAAAAGTTTTAGTTTGGATGTGATTCTTGAACATTCTGATTTAGCATTTTCTCAGCCAACAAATGTGGGGAAGTTGTTAGCATCAAGTTACACCAACACCAAATCTTTGTTGGTTTACACAACAATTTCATAGTAAGCCAATAAATCTTGAATTCTTTTCATTATTTCAAGAAACACTTTTTTTGAGTTAAATTTTATTCATGATATGATATTTATTCAAGAAAACATTGTGAATTATTAAACATATGCATCGGGGTTTTTGAGGAGGTAGGCTTCCACAATCTTGTATAGCCCTAACACCTTTTCTTTTCCTGCATTTAATTCTTCTTCCTTGAGCTAGAAATCACCATGGGTGTAAATAGTTGTGGTCATTTTTTTGCAATGGTGCCATTATCAGGAGAACCCTCAAACTTAATATCATACGACACCTTGACAAGATACTTGTATGATATACCCATACCTTCAATCAAACTACACTTGTATGTGAATGTCTTTTCATTGACTTCATCTATTTGATGCTTCACATAACCTACATATATTTTTGAAATTAAACACAAATATTTGCCCCTATTAATAGATATTTGGATTGGATATAAGTTTACCTCTTGCAAAGTTAATCTGCTTAATGCTTCCGGCCCCACCATTACCTTTGATAAACTCAAACACTTTTAATAGCATCTGGCAAGAGTTTTGGCATCAAATTGTGGGAGTCGATAATTGAGGCCTTGAAAATTCTTGATGGAGAGATGGTGGAAATGTGTTCATCGGTATATGTCAAGACACCCATGGTTTTTAAGGATAAAAAATGGTTAAAATGGGTTGATTTGAGTGTTGAGTATGGAGATTGAAGGATGATGTGGGTTGTATTTATAGGTTTAAATGGGTAGAGGATTAGGAAGTTGTACCTGATGTAATTGTAGTTGTACAATTGCATTGGCAATGGCAAGATCAACATTATGTTACTTGTCCTCATTTGAAATGGGCTTTAGCCGCTATAAACCATAGGAATCAAACAAAATTAAGTATGAGTTTCACAATTTTAGTGTTAACGTATTTTCTAGACCATTGTAAGTCTTAAAATCCAATATTTATGTGTTATGCTGCTAGATCTTGACTTGTATGCATGTTTCTCCGTGTTTGGGAGAGTTTGAGTGGATGAATTCTATAAAGTTGGTACATTTATGGATCCTTGAGGTCCTTGGAGGTTTAGTGTTCCAAATCTGAATAATGGTTGAGTTTTGGTTACATACATGACATTTTGACCTTATTTTTCACCATTTTTGACCTAACCAAGTTCAAGACATGCAAGACATGCATTGGACATTCATGTACATAAATCAAAGGTTTTTATGAAGCTTATGGGCGTTAAGAAGCTTTCTAGAAGAGATGATAGTGTGGCTTAATGGATTAAGGGATTAATCCATTAAGCTGTCCAGAACATGTCATCATGCTTACTACGTCGTGGAGGAGGGGGTTCTTTGTGATTGATTTGTTTGGGTTGTTACCGTGGTGGTTGGTCTGGCCGTGACTATTTTGTCATGGAGCTGCCATGACCTGGTGGCCATTTTTGACTTTGACTGTTGACTTTTTGACTAAGTTGACTTTTGGCCAACTTGAGGGTTTTTGGGTTGTAGATTGAGGATTGGTCTATGTTTGTTGTATAGGTGACTCATAGTACCAGTTCTTGGATTCGTGTGAGTTATATCGTTTATCTGTTAGACTGCGAGGTGAGTTTTCTCACTATACTTTGTAGTGCAGTATGTATCCTTAGGTGTAGGATGTTGATATGTTGTAGTGAAATGTTAGATTAGTAGATCTGTATGATTAACTGTGTTTGATGGATATTGTTTATTTGTTAGTATATGTCGACATATTGTGGTTATGTTAAGGCAGTCCTGCTTTGTGTTGTAAGCCAAGATACACGGGCAGTCTAGGTGTACTGTATGTCTTGCGAGGCGGTCCAGTCAGATTGTAGGCCCAATGAGAGCGGTCCGAGTGTACTTTAGGCATTAGGAGATGATCCTGACAACTGTAGGCTCATGTGTGCACATATTGTATGTTATTGTTTTGTGGGAAACTCACTAAGCTTTGACTTATAATTGTTGATTTAAATGTTTTAGGTACTTCAGATGACCGGGGAAGACAATGACGTGATTGTACACATCATACAATAGTTTCATATTTTTGAGAGATACTATGATCTTATTACTCTGATTTTCATATGGTTGTAAAACATTGTGTTGGTGACTTATGATTTCTATTATAAAGCCTTTAAAATTGAAAAAAAAAAAATACTATTGTTTTTGGGACGTTACATCCAATATACATCATGAATATCTTTGCAAAACTATTATATCATATACTTTCATATAAAACTTATTAGCGGATGACAAAGTTTGCAAAAAAAAAAAAACCATAGACAAATATGACAAAACATAAACAATACCAAAACGAAAAAAATAGAAAACCAATTATTTTGGTTTGGGTTCCTATCTTATATATAAATTAGTGGAGAACTCATGCTTTGCATGGGGTGTTTTTTTTTGTGTTTTTTATACCAAAATGTAAAAGTTTTGATTCTAAAGATCAAAAGTGCCAAAATAGCTAAAAAGTTATTACTATTGATAAACTCAATGAGTCAAGGGACTAAAGTAGAAAAGCATTGATATTAAGGACTAAAACTGACAACAAACCAAAACCAATGTGGCCAAAATCCAAAGTGGAAAAAGTTTGATATTAGGGACTAAAAGTGACAACAAACCAAAACAATTATGGCCAAAATCCAAAGTGGAAAACATTACTGTTAAAATGTTGTTTCATTTTTAATATATATATATATATATATATATATATATATATATATATATATATATGAAGAGAATGAACCAAATTATTTATTTGAAAAAACAATTGTTTTGTTTTAGTTTACTTTATTATATATAAAAATCGAAAAAAACAAACCAAAATATCAAAATTAAAATTTTATATTTTAAAGAACAAAAAACAATTTTCTTAAAAAATAATGTTTTTTTTGAAATTTATTTGATGTGAGTGGTTATTCTGAAAAAAAAAATTAAAAAAAAACATGAGTGATTTTTCTGAATAATAATAATAATAAAGCATTGTTTTTTTTGCATAAAAGCTTGGAAACTTATTGGTTTGTGTGATATTTTTCCTTTTCAAAAAGTAGTAGAAATCATCACTCGCATTGCGCCAAAGAACTTCTTTGTAAGTTGTATATAAAACGTGCTTTTTAAATTTTAACAGTCCACATTTAAAAAGATGATTACTTCATATCAAATGGACCAAAAAAATATCAAAACAAAGTTTTGCTCTTAATACCATAATAAATAGGAAATATCATAAAAATCTATAACGTGTATATAATCTATGAATAGAAAGTAAGAACGTAAATAAAGATCGTAAAAGTTTATAACTTTTATATAAAAGTTACTATTAATAAAAATAAAAACAAAAAAATAATAATTATTTAAGAGACTAAAAACATAACTACAAAATATAATAAGGGATTAAAATCGCAACTTCTAAAATATTAATAATCTAACTTTAAAGTTAAGAAACATGAAAATTGTTATATCAAAATTTATTGAGGTTAAAAAAAATATAAATATAAGAATATGTTATTATTAAATGTTAAATCTATATATCCAGAGAGACTTTTTATTTTGAATTATATATTAGATGCTTGAATATGTAACTTGATTTGTTGTTAGTCCTTTTGACTTTGGAAAAATATATATATATATATATATATATATATATAATATATATATATATATATATATAATAAACATCAATTTTTAAAACTTTACATTTTACTTTGCTAACCTAATTTCGAATTATATCTCGCCGATGAGGAAGCAATCTCCCAACATCAACAACATCAATAACAATAGAAAAACGACAACAAACGACAATTAAGAGAACATCAGCAACAACAACATAAAAACAAGAGCGACAAGAGGTCATCAAGAGGACATCGAGTCACAAAGGGACATAAAACATAAGACTATAAAGTGACACGACATGTCCTCCAGCATACGTTGATGTGGCTCGATACACACTGCTCCACATGTCACGTTCCAGGTTCCCACTCGACAAAAGTTTGTCATATTCTCTCTCATCTTTATCCTTTTTTGGCCGTTTCTTAACCTTAAAATTCAAAATTTTAACATTTTTTTTTCAAAATAAATACCAACAACTAATACCAATTATTACCATTTTCAAAACCTTCAACAATCATCTTACCTCACTCAATTCTATCTCTGTAAAATGTCTTCTACAAACTCTCAATTTGATTCCATTAAGATAGAGAAGTCCTTGGTTATAACTTGGACCTCGTAAAAGATACGATTTTGGCCCGTGCATGGGTCAATGTATTGGGTGGTCATTTGGTCTGGAAAGCTTTTGAAGGAAAGTTAACACATGTTAGCTCAACGAAATACATCAAAGTGAGAAAGATCAAATCTATATCAAATGGATGAAAACAAACAAAGTTGTAATGGAGTTTGGCGTTTTGTCATGGTGTGCAGTTAATTTACTAGTTTTTATATTTATAATTATGTTTCTTATGTTTTGTTGTTATCTTTATTATTATATTTCTTAAGTTTTAATTTAAATTTTGTGTACTTTTTTTAAATTTAATTAATTTTATAGTTTTTTTTAATTTAAATTTAGTCGTTTCATATAATATATAAATAACAAACTTGGCATAGCAAACCATTCTCTTTATATGGAAAAAATAGGAGAGGTGTGGAAAATCCGAGGTGACGATAACGTGGAAGGAAAAACAGTATGACAAATATGTTACCTTTCCTTGCAGCCTAAGTAAATCATAGTAAAATCACATGAATCCAAAAATATGCAAAAGAGGCATCTGACCAACTCCAAGCAGTTAATGATCTTATCTGACGTCGGGTTACCATCGCGTAACCCCCATGTAAGTGTGACATACTGCTTAACTTGTGTCGTGTCATCTAACTTGCATGCATCACGTTCCTACCATACTAGATTCAACTTCTTACTTTCGGACGTGTTGTGTAATACCACTTTACGCGTCTGTTCTTATTACACATTACCCATTTCTGAAATAGCAATGTACATCACTGTTCTATGTTCTTGTTACACATTACCCATTTCTAAAATAGCAATGTACATCACCGTTCTATGTCAAAAGGCATCTACACATCGCGTATCTGCAGTGCAACTTGGTACTTAGCAAGCTTTTATTTTTACTCTTGTAATTCACATTATACAGCCAAAAAACTATAATCCAATTCTAATAATCAAATAACTATTTCTAGTATCATTCTAACATGTAACAATGTACTAACCAACTTCATACTTGAAATTTCTTGACTTTTACCCTTTTATCAAATTGCCCCTTTACATCATAATTCACACACAACACCTTATCATTCAAAATATTAGGGATGTTACAAAAAGTCCAAAACGACCTTATATCCAACCTAATATTTGTCAATAATAACAAGAAATACAATCAATATAACTAGCAAAAGTGACACATTTAGAAATGGGTAATGTGTAATAAGAACATAGAACAGTGAAATATGGGCTTGCATAAAGTAGGAATGGGTATTTATTATTTAGTTTGTACAAAGTATATGTAATTGTTTTTAACTGTATATGTGGATGACATTCTTATTACTAGCCATTTTCAATATTAAATAAATAAAGGGAAAACAAAATTTTCTTCAATCGAAACCAGGCCTCCAAGGGGTTTCTCAAAGGTTTTTGGTTGTTTTTGGTCGAAGAAATCAACAACTCTCTCTCGAATTTGACCTAGTTATTGTTATTTATATTGCCAAAAATGAGCTTCCACGTCGTGGCCATGTGTTCGCCACACCGTGGAAAAAATTTATTATGCGTATTCTGCAAGTCTAGTCACCGACTCATCGAGAAGGTTCTTCATCTCCACATCGTGGGTCAGGAAATGTCACGTCGTTGTAACACCCTATTTTCACCATAGCCGTAGTTTGTAAATATTAGAAAATATGAAATAAAAATATATTAATATTAAGCCAAAATAATCTCCATAGACACGTAAGAAACGTTAATACGATTTCCATAGATATATAGAACGCTTAAATTCAACTTCATGCTTCTTCGAAGTTTTTCGATTAAACCGACGCAGCTCAGAATATCGTAAAAAATTGAATTTTAGATAGGTGGCTTATTAGCTTAAGCAACCTAAACGAAAGTTGTAGTGGTCGTTAAACTGAGAGCGTAAATATAGAGAACGTCTAAATATGACATCATTAGAGGAAGTTATGATTTTTCTAAGATTCGGCATGACAGTGTACAACTCAAAAATCGAATTTAGATCGGTCGATTTTTTGTTGAGACAATCTAAATGAGAATTGAAGATCTTGTTAATAAGAGTTTAACAATATAAAGACAGGCAAAAACAAACTTCGAATGAGGGAGTTATGATTTATACGGGCTTTAACAGTCTAAGCCTGTGTGAAAAATATAAAGTCAAAAACTAGCCGACGGTTTAAACGAAAGTTATAGACATCGTCAAGTGATTTCTGGGATACAAAGAACCTCAAAAATGGAGTTCGTATGAAGAATATACGCAATTTTGAAATTTGAAAAATGGCACGCGTGCGCGTCAGGAGCGCTGCGCGCCCGACAAAACCATGCAGCCCCACCCACTTGTGAAACGTGCCAGGACAACATTTCGCCATGTCACTATGTTTTTTACCAGGAGCGTGGCGCGCCACCATGATGCACGACGCTCATCCCAAGAGTTCATCTTATAAATAACAGCTCATTCCTCCATTCCTCCTCACACCATCCAATCGATTTCTCTTTGAAACTTTTGTTATTTAGCCCCTTTTTTCCTTCATTTTTGGCATGCGGCGAAGTCCTGCGACACTCCTGAGTAATCGTCTGAGTAGTAGCCTTCAAGTAGGAGATCCCAAGTCAGTATTCTGCCCACTTAGATCTCGGTTCTCATCAATAGCACTCTGTAAGTGAGCCACACTTATTTTGCCATCGAGTAATTTATAATTATAGTTATAAGTCATTACTAGGAACCTATAATTAAGATTTATCAGTAATTACAAGTCATTATACTGGTTGATCTACTTATGGGAGAGGTTTCTAGAATGGACACGTTGGTTTGGTTGATGGATTTCA